GCATTCTGAGATTAAAGTCAGCATTCTGAGATTAAAGTCAGCATTCTGAGATTAAAGTCAGATACTAAACTGAAATAAAATTTAAAAATCAGTTAACTTTTTTGTTCAGTGGCCCTAATCCTCTTCCGTAGAAAACAGCGCAGTTGTTTCTTGCTTTTTCTTTCTTTCTTTCTTTGTTTTGTTCCCAGGAATCCCCTCGGTGGGAGTTTGGCTTTAAAACCACTTGGGAAACCGGAGAATTATTTCCAGAAATTTGGCTGGAGTTTAATGAAGCTGGATCATGTGACCTGGGGGAGTTGTCTTGTTGCTCTTAACTTTAAGGAGCAAATACACCAAGGGGAGCATGAGTGAAATGTAAAACTGAGCCTACAAACAGAATGATGATGGTGAAGCTTCAACATAATGTCTTTAATTTCAGAGACACAATATGAGTTTTTCTTCCAAAGCTGCCCCAGTATTCCCCCCTCCACTGCCAGCTCTCAGAGGATAAACGTCTCCTGTAAATAATTGCTGCTCATTAAGTGCTGCTGTTGTGAGCGTGCTCTCTGAGGCAATCCTCTGCAGCCTGTTACACCTCCTCACTGATGAGGAAGCAGCATGGAAATGCATTTGCATTTAATTGCTATGTACAACAGGTACATTGTGCAAAGCTTTGGTTCCTTTTTTGTTCTCTTTGAGAGAGGATGCACGCAGCGTTAATTTAAAAGGTTTTTTTCTTCTTCCTGTTTGACCTACTTCTGAGCTAATAGTCAATGAGGTACAGGTAGATGATTTGGTGCTAATATAACTCCCTGTTTTCATTGTTTCACAGCACTAAACGGTTTCTTTAAAAAAAAAAAAACATCTTTCAGAGTATTTAGTCTACAGATGCTCAGTGTTACCTCTGGACTCCTATTGGCCCTAAGAAATATCTTGTTTTTTGTGGTCCTAATAAGTTAGATGCACTTTAAAAGAAAGAAAAAATGTAATTAGCCTCTTTAAAATAAAACAAAAGTATTTGCCTTTAATCGACTAATTTAGATTTAATTTTTAGATGGAGGGTTTGTCTAATTATCATCCATATTTTTTTGAAGAAGCGACCATTCTCATAGTCAGAGCCAAGTGATTTCAGAATTATGATTTTCATGTAATATTGTAATTTTATTTTTCCAATGTTTCACTTTTTAAGACCTTGTTTGTCCAGACTCCATTGTTGCAGGACGTCACTGTAACCTTTGTGTGAAAAGATTCCACGTTTGGATCTGTATATTATCTGTAACTCTCTCCTTTATGTTTCTGTGGCGACAAACCCAAATTAAGCGTTTATCTAAACATCTAGAGATCCTGTTTAGCTCATAAAAGCCAATTTATGCTTCTGACGCTTAGCCTCTGCAACCTTCAAATCTGTCTCTGCCTTCCGAGTAGAGGTTCTGCAACCGTCGTCGCGCACCTCAAAAAGAGTCCTGACTACGTATTGGACAGTCGCAAACCCACGCAGACCTCGAACGGAAGTGCGCAGACAAAAAGCAGCTGTGATTGGTCCTTGGTATGCCTTTCCAGCTGTCTGTGTGGTCGTCCTTCTCGATTCGGTGCCGGGGCGCGCCATTTTTAAAAACCCAGGGACAACTACGATGAAAGGTTAACCGGTCTTTTTGCCAACTCCATTAACAGAACCTGTTCCTCTTTGTTGTCTAGCAACTCTAGATCCATCTCCGTTACCGTGATATCTTGCAGATGCGTCATTGTTCCTTTGGAAAATAATCACTCCCGCCGCCGAAGTTCTTGTGACCATCCACCGAGGTTCTCACGAGTTCTCGATTAGCCCCCCCTCCCTTGCGCTTTGACGAGACACTGCTGTGCATTTCTAGAAATTCCAGACAGACGGTGCAGAAGACTACCAGCAAAACTGGTTCGCGACCAGACCCAAGCAACATTTGATGTGTGCGTTTGCAGAAGCATAATCTGCCTTAAAAACCACCATTATCAACAGGATAAACTCCTGCAAAGAAAAGATTATCACTGTGGAACAACATGAAGAGGATTTGCAAACGTTGTGGGAGATTTTGTTTTCCATTTAGAAGTAATAATCAAAAAAGGTTATGGTGTTATACCTTTTACCTCAAAAGTATGTTTTTAGGATATTCCTTGCTAGGGCTGGGTAAAGAAATCGATTTAATCGATTTTGAATCGATTCCTGTACATTTTTGTAAAATCGATGTCTAGAGAATGAGATCGATTAGTTTTTTTTAGTGACGCGCATGACTTTCACATTTTAATTTAAATGAGCAGCCAGACAGCTGCAAATATAGCCAATAGGTTGACTGAAGACATTAACAAATGGGGGCTGACCAGCAAACACCCTATAGTTGTTACAGACAACGCTGCAAATATGGTTTGTGCATTGAAGATAATGCAGCTCATGCATGTCTGCTCTTTTTCCCGCTGTGTCACGTCTGCTCGCTCGAGTGAGGCGTCACTTTTTCACTTTTCACAAACGAGTTTGCACTTCTAAGACGGTTTTGTTCACATCTCAGGTTTAAACTGTCTGATTTACAAGTTTGCACTTTGTTATTAATATGACAGGAAAAAATAAAATACATGAGTATTTTGAAACACAGTTGAACCACTTTCGTTATTGTAAAAACCGATCGAATCAAAATGAATCGATTTAGGACTTGGGCGAAAATACCCAGCCCTATTCCTTGCCGTTAATGTTTTTCAGATTTTTTGAGTAAATCTGTTTTCTGCTTTAAAAACGCAGCATTAGACCAAATAGTCTTGTGAAAAATAAAGGCAGATGCTTTAATAAGCCCCAGAGTAGTCTGTCACAGTTATGGCCTTTAGGGTTTCACTACGATGACATCTGTACGCGGTGACTGAAGGAGAAGAGTAGAGTGGGAATATTTAGGAATGGTTTGGAAAGCTGTATACACATTTGTCTGGTGGAGCTAAATATTTATGCAAGAAGGAGCGAAGCTGCAGAGATGACCCAGCTTTGAACACAGAGGACTTTCTTTCCTGTCGCCTTCATGGTCAAACATCTCTGTTTTCCAGCTCCCCCCCTCTTCCTCTCCCACTTTTTCTGCTATACTCCCACTTGCTTTCATGCCTCCCTGCTTTTTCTCTCCAACCTTTTTCTTCTCAGGGGAGGTGAGTAATCTCTCTTTTTTTTTTCTGGAGAGAGAAAGAGAGAGAGCGCTGAGGCCATGCTGGAGTTAAAAGCTCTAATAATAGGCAGCGGGTCCAGCTCTCCATCTATCCAGTCCGTCCACCTTCGTAGCAATTGGTGCCTCGCTTTGGTGATCTAGTGAGCATGTTCCCGGCGTTGCCGTGGTGACGGCGGCTTGCTAATGTACTACTTCTGTTTGTCTTTTTCTCATCAGAAAAAGGCAGAAGAGGCTCACAGGGTACTGGAGGGGCTGGGACCCAGAGTGGAACTGGTGAGTTTTTATTTGATGTCCACTTTTTGTCTCTCGTCTCCTTACATTTTTAAACATAAAGAAGTAAATCTGTGAAGATTCAGTGTAACATCAGATTGAAATGGATCCAGTGATTTAATTTTATTAGCTCCAGAGTCCTTCCTCGCTACTCGATGGTGATAACACTTTTAAATATATGGAGTGAAAAGTTTAAGTCGATAATCTAGGGTTTTAATGTTTGGTCATTTTGTAATCTGCTGAATGTTTGTTCTGTTCTATCATCCCAGCCTCTGTACAACCAGCCATCCGACACCAAACAGTACCATGAGAACATCAAGATGTAAGTCCGACTCCACGTTGGTCTTGGCTTGTCTCCATTTGCAATATTTGTTTCCTTTGGCCACTTAAGTAGGTCAGAAGTCTATCAGATTAGGGCTGATGTAGGACAGGTTCATTTGAATTTGAATATTTGATCAGTATCTGATGACCTCCGACTGTAACATTACAGTTAGACAAGGGCTGTCTTGATTGCATAAGGTTTTCCATCAAACATCAAACCTCCTGCTGTCTTTGAAGGGGTAGCAGGGAGATTGTTGTAATCAGTTTTCTCTTTGTGGAGCATAAAATAATGCAGCATTTCCATCTCCCTCACATGTTGTTAATCAGTTTGAAAATATTTGTGGTACAATAGGGCAGGGATTCTCAACCGTACGCAGATTCCTAGCGCTCAGCAAGGGCACTGCAAGGGGTACAGGAAAATATTTTATTTCTTAGGTAGTAAAATATCTGGAACAGAATCTGTTTTGTTTTGTTGGGACCCAATTGAAAAGTTCGCTTTTGTTTGAGTTCACCTTCAGCTTTGACACACATCCAAACCAAGCAGAGGAACAAGTAAAGAAAAGCCTCATATCTGCTGTTTTTCACACTGAGCTCATTAAAGCAGCTGACGTGTTTTTATGAAAACAAAATCAAACTAATAAAGTCTGACTATATATTTTGTTCCCAATTCATCAATGTAAATGTGATTATAATTAAGTTACTCAAAGGAACTCTAGTTTTATAAATACAGGTTTGCAATATGATTTTATTTTGTATTTATTTCGATTCCTTACCAGCCTCCAGGCGACATTTTTTGATTTTGTTTTGTTTTTTTGAGATGGAAGATGAGTAAAATTAAAAAGTTTTTATTTTATAATCAGTTATTGTACGTTCCACTTTTGGACAATCATGAATACTTTGAGGGGAACTCGTGTTAAAACAAAATGCCCAAATAGGTAAACAAGTAAAAAAAAGTTTGAGAAACACGACTGTAAGGTGTGAAAACAAATGAAGCATCACCTTTTACCAGTACGGTAATGTTTGACGGCAAGAGTTGGTTTGTTAAGCAGCCAACAGCAGAGTGGCTACACAAGCACACAGCCTGACTTCTGTTTTTTGAATTGAGACGGCTTCCTGGATGGGAAGCGAAACGTCTTCAAACTTGGAAAACAAATTCCAGTGGATTGTTTTTTAACTTTTTAAAAACTTTTTTGGAATGACAATGACCTGGATGACAGTCTTCGCCAGTTTATCTGTTTGATTTTATTTATTTATTTATTTATTATTATTAATACACAAAGAATAAAACAGCAGAGCAATAAAATCTTTTTTGCAAAACATCTGTAAAAATTTGCAACAGATAGCTTGTTACGGTTATGGCTGTGATATTAGAATTTAGTTTTTACATATGCATAGATATACGTACAGATATATATACAGAACAGCTATATGTGTATATATTTCATCTCTTTTTATTCTTATTTTTTATCTTTATTATATTGTATAGTTGGATGTGTGTATATATTATATAAAACTGTAACTGGATCGTGTAACAAAAGTAATTTCCCTCTGGGATTATTAAAGTATTTCTGATTCTGATTCTGATTTGGAAAACCTTATTAAAACTATCCGCCTTTATTGTCTCGGTCCAAATACAGACACCTGTAAAACGACTTTTGTAAAAATAAAATTACTGATTGAACTTCCTAAGTATTACATATACTTTACATATACCTAAGGACGCAAATTAAAATAGTTTCTTGTCTTCAAAAAAAAAACTTTTTAAAACTTATTTTTATAAAACTAAAAAGAAACCCCTATATTTCCTCTGTTGCTCACAGTGTTTGTAAAGAAATTTTATTGAGTTGGTCTAGTTTTGTTCAGAATTAAAAGACTAAACAGAAGTCCGGGAGCAGTTGACTACTTTTAGAGGTCTTATATTCACAACATAAAGTTGCAAAAAAAATTTAAATGGAGGTTAAAAATGTAAAATCTAATGAAGAAAGTGGAGCTGGTTGACAAGTTCATTTGTATCTTTGCTTCTGTCTCCTTTAATCCCATCAGCCTCAGCAGATGGCCGCTCACACTGAGCCTGGTTCTGCTGGAGGTTTCTTCCTGTTAAAAGGGAGTTTTTCCTCTCCACTATCGCCACAAGCATGCTTAGTGTAAAGGATTGCCTTCGAGTCGATGCAATCAGTTGGTTTTCCTTTGAAACTTTTGAGTTAATTGGACTGTATAATCTGGTTGAATTGTAAAGTGCCTTGAGATGAAGAATTGGTGCTATATAAATAAACTGAATTGAACTGAATGAAGGTGGAATGGATGGGGGATTGCTTTGCATCTCAGAATCTGATCCATTATCAGTAATGTTTCCCAGCCCTCCCGTCTTCATCCGTGTTTGCATCAGTGTTTTTTTATTAACTAATAACTAAACAGATCCTCCTTTTACTTTGGAGTTCTGTCTTTTTTTTTTTTTTTGTAGCTGTTGCCTCATACCATTATTCAGTGTGCATAGATTTAAGGAGCCAGTTTAGAGAAAGTAAGAACTATAAAGTATGGATATAAACTACAGATACAGAGAAAAACTATCACATTACCGTACTATATCAAAATCTGTTTACTTAGTTACTTGACTCCTCTCTTACTTTTTCTTCATCAAATTCTCCCCACTACTGCATCTTGATCAGCAAAACATTGCTTTAATTTTGGCATTTTAGGGAAGCTGGACTCTAGCTAGGAAAAAAAACAAATATAATATGGGTATACAGAGCTTTTATGCCTGCTAACTGATCCATATTCTGGCAAAGATTCATCCATGCACTCCTCTACAGTTGTGTTTTTTGTATAAACTATTATACTCAAATAAAAACTACTATTTGACTTATTGCTTAGTTATTGTTTAAGTTAATGCTTTATATTTTACTAGGCATAATTGACAATATAACAAATGAACATTTGATAATGATGGATCCTGTTATGCACATTTGTTTTAATATTTGTGTTAATATTATAATTTAGTCTCCTATTTTTACTCACACTGCAAAACAACCTAGAAACAAGTAAAAATTTCTTAAATTAACTGTATTTGTCCTTAATTTGAGTAGGTAAATGAGATGGTTTGCCAAAAGAATCAGCATTTTTACTCTTAAAAACAAATAATTAGATAAAATGCACTTGAAATAAAAAATGCAATTGTGTTTTCTTATTTTAAGTGTAAATTGTCTTGTTCCATTGGCAAAATGTCTCTTTTACCTCCTCAATCCAAGAACAAATGCACTTATTTTAAGTAGATCTACTTAAGTAGATTTTCGATTTTTTTTTTTCAGTGCAGGTTTATCATATATTTGGGTTTTTTCTACATGCTGATGACTTCAGTTGTTGGCAGTCCAACAGCTGATGCACATGTTTATTTCAGTTTAAATGTCAGCTTACAGTAGTTTTTTCTTAGCAACACTAAGCGCCTCCTTGGTTGTCAGTTGACTCGGTATTGCCTATATCTTGTCCCTCCTGGATTTGTACATGCCACTGTGTCCTTGGGCAAGACATTGATCAATTTCCGGTGTTGTTTTCAAGAGCTGAGAGAAGTTTTCCCACAGTTCACGCTGCATTCGAGTGAAAAAAAGAAAAAAAAAAGCTGGTTAATTGCTCAATCGGAACTCATCACTTAGGACTTATTCATGTTTCTCTGGAAAACTTGTGGGAATAATCATATTTCAACAGGCTGTTCAATGTCCAATCATGCCCCCCCCCTTTAGTGTGAAATTCTCAACATCTCACTCACTCAGGCTCTGCAGCTGGGATGTAATTAGGTCCGTAGGGCTCCATCATTAGGCTGTGTGATAATAATTGGGTGTGGGCCATTGAAGCCCCGTTTTCTCCTGATATCTCTTACCTCAGCAGCTCTGCTAATGTTGCTGCGTGATTATGTGTTTGGATTGTTAACAAACATGCTGGAAATTGATATTTAGATTTTAATGCAGTTAAATGTTGATTTAGTGACTGAGAATTTATATATTTAAAGACTCGTGATATGAATGGCTCTTTTTCATGTATTTATGACCTTTTAAGATATAACCTGAGGCAGCAGAAACTTTCCCGTTTGGACCACAGAGCTCGACCCCAGCTTGTGATTTTTATTGCCAGTCACAGCTGCAGGGTTAACAATACAGCACTTTTTCAGTCATTTATAATTGAAGTTATGGGCCCTAAATAACATGATTTATGTCTCGGTGTTATTAACTAAACCAAGTGTCCTCTGGGTTTACAGCATGCTCTTTAAGATGATGGTTGATTTTAGGAATAATTGTGGAAATAATCTCTGAAATAAGTGTCTAAGTGATCAGTAAAAGCATTGCTGTAAAAATCTTTTGAAGCACTTTTAAACATGACTACATGTTGTGGTTGTGGTGTGCTGTGTCTGAGGGGTGCAAACATCCTGCAATTAGATAAATGCACTAGGGGTGGAATGGTTCACAAAATCCACGGTTCGGTTCACTGTTTCGTGGTCATGGTTTTCAGTTCGGTATATGTTGCTTTTTAGCCTGACATGTTGGTCATGTTGCTGTTAGCATAAACAAAA